GACATGTCTTCTGTTTAAATCACCTATCTTTTGATCTGGGAGAAGTGATTTTTCCCTTAAAAATGCCCCTCAATGCTCTCATAATCTTCCATACTCATACTGAAACATCTGTAACAGCTGACAGCTTTGCTTAAAGCTTATACACTCCTCCATTACCTCAAAATAGGAATCTGTTTATTGTGAGAGAATCCACTCGGATTAGGGAATATGAACTGCACAGTCTAATGAAGAGAAGGAATTTTTTTCTTACCTGCCCATCTGTTTTCTCTGGTGGACAAATTCATATCTTAACTTTCCAGAGTACCATGGACAGTTGTCCAACTTTGTAGCTGTTCATACCATCCTGTTCATGTTTCTGTGCTTTGTTTGCACCTTGTTAAAAAAATTTAGGTATTGGTTTTTTGTTTAAACCACTTTTATTTCAATCAGGTGCATTTAACCTTCGTTTTTGGAAAAGCTTTTTACTTCAATTTCTATAATATTGTACCTAAAAAAGAAACAATGAGAGTGAAGGTTTTCAAGTATGGTGCTGCAGAAAGTCTACTATTTCACTAGTACTGAAGACTATTTTCAGGATGAACTAACAAACTGAGGCAAAACCTGACTTATCCACCACAGAAGAAGGAAGGGAAAAAACCAAACCAAACAAACCCAACAACAACAACCAAAAAACCCCAAAACAAAAACAAACAAACAAAGGAAAGAAAGAAAGGAAACCTAGTTAAGCTCATAACATAGTGATCCCAAAAACTTTTAGACTTTGAAAGCCTGTACCTGAGTTTGAGTTATGACTTGAGAAGTGTTTTTTAAAGAATGGTAGAAAACCTCATGCTTCTTGTTTCCTAAGGATTATTTATGAAATATGTTTAATGTAAACAAATCATGTATTAAAAAATCCTAGAGTCTAGCTCTGCAGTTTTGTTCTGAGACTGGAGAGCTAAACTGCATGATCTCCTGCAGGAATGTTATTGAAACTGCTGAATGGTCTTGTTGTAAAGTGATGCCCTCCTATGGGATAAAAAGATATAATTCAGTGAGACACGTAACAATATATAATAACATATCACAAGGGGAAATATATCCAGGTATAATGTGTCTTGGCTCTACAGGGTTACTGGGGGAGGCAGGAAATAAATTTTCTTTCAAACACAGGGTAGAAGTTACAACGTCCTAAAAACGGGTAGAGAATAGACTTACTGGATGTACTGTCATTTTTGTTACTTTTTCATGCTACTGTCACAGTTCCCCAACTCAAGCAATTTTGTTTTATCCATCTAGATAAATAAGGTTTTATTTTGTTACAGTTTGGAAGTAAGGGGATTCTTTGCTTCTTTCCGTGTTTGCCTGGGGGTATTGAGAGTTGCTGCTGCTATTGTTTCAGGATGTGGGTTGTTCTTTGGGATGTTTTCCCGATGAAGCAGATCAAAATGGACAGCAAGGCGTGCCAGCGTGGATCAGGAAGGGGGACATCCTGAAACGAGAAGCCCGCAAAGTATGTAAAACAATGTGCTTCATATTAGACTTTTCTAAATGCCCTTCATCACAGCAGTGCTGAGTGCTCTGGCTGGCAGTTCATCTTGAGCTGTCTTTGAAATTCGAGTGATGTACATGATCCTTAAATATGGGACAGTTGGGTACATCAGTTACTGACTGATCACAAAACCCAAAGCAAACATATCATTCATCTTCAATAAATTTTTTTGTCAAGTAACAGAAAACAGCAAAAGTTATCTGTTGTATAGGAGTGTAAATCCATAGTCTTCACCAAATTTTCATTAGTAGAATTTTCTGGACTACGGCAATTAACTAAAACATTAATTTGTTATTTTCTTGGCATGTTCAATTTTTTCTCTTATAAATATGCAGTAATTTATACTGTATTTTTCAGCACTAAAAGTGATAGCCAAAAAAGTTCTGAAACAGTTAGTTTTGAACAGTTTTCCAATTTTTCTTTGTCAAGAGTTAAGAAAATATATCATTAATTATTCCATTCTATCAAAGACTCAGGTAAATGAGACATAGTTGCATACTGGAAATGGTAGGATATCTGATGCAATAAATATATTTTGTCATTCTGTAACTGAGTTACAAATTACTATAACTGTGTTACTAAAAAAAAAAATATCACAGGCTACAAAGACAAAAATACAAACCCATAAGTTCAGGAACATCACAGATGTTTGGTGTACACACTATTGTACACACTTTTAAAGAAAGAGCTTGCTTAATCCCAGCCTGCTAAAATATTCACAGTCCATGCAAAATGGCAATTAAAAGGCAACAGAGAGAGAACACTCATAGAGGGAAGCCCCACAATCATAATAGTCACCAGAAGGCAAATTTACTGCCCTGTCTGCTAATAAATGCATACATAACGTGACTATAGTTCAGAATATGAAGAAACAATTGGCACATTGCAGTTTTCTCTATTTGCTTTTCCATTGGCATGTAGTTACATTGTGAACTCCTTACCATGTAGGCAGTAGAAACTCATGTCTCCTAAAATACTCTATGCAGCTCTGAACACGATGACTTTTCAAAGTCATTTGAAAAGGACAGGGTATATACAAAAAATAAACAAAGTTTTCTGCTTTACAGAAAGTTGTGACTGTACACAGTTACAAACACTGCATAATCATTGGCTGGTCTTAGTTGCTAAAGATATTTATTGCATCACTTTCATTCCTATGGCCACCCAGAGTACTCATGATTCATATTTTATCATGTCCAGTTTGTAGATAGAGGTGAACTCAAGAGATACCTCAAGGTCTGGCTTTTTTAGGTGAGTTCTAACTGATGTGCTGCTTACAAGCTTCAGCTAAGGGAACTATAGATCTGCATGCTACTGCCTTGCTGATAACTGTGCGTCAGTGTTTTTTCCTGTGTATTTCACATCTGCAGTAAACATCTGGGTTACAAGCAAAAGCCAAGTCTTCTGGGGTCTCCAGCCTGCGAAAAGATTCTCTGTAACCTGTGCCTAGAGTGCACTTGAGCCTCTGGGAAGGGACTGTCACAGGGAAAGAGAAAATAGAGAGTGGTTGAGCAGAAAGCTCAGGTAGCACAGCTGGAGGGGAAGGCTTTCAGTTCTCTCATTGAAACCGATACCTCTCAGAGCAGCCTTGTCTGGGCGTCTAGCAAGGGTGTTTCAAAGGTTTCAGCTGATGTGGCGAGTTCTGAATGAGTTCTGAATGAAGCCTTTTGAGCTGGAGTGGTTCGAGTTTAGGTCGGATTTTCAAAGAGGTCCGTTGTAAACGAGAGTTACCAAGCGTTTCCACGCGTCCTGTACAGCCACGCTGTGGATGAGCGAGGCAGGGACCCGCGGAGCCCCAGGGCTGGCTGCTTTCCCCTTGAGGCCGGCGCTGCCGGGGCGAAGGGAGCTCGGCCAGCCCGGGCTGGAGCAGCCGCAGCGGCGGCGGGCGGGCTCCGCGCAGGGCTCGCTGCGGCGTCTGGCCTTGAGACACAGCGACACCCAGAGGGGCCGCGGGGCGGGAGCGGGGCCGGGCTCGGGGGCTTCGCTCTCGGCACGTTCCTACCCGGACGGGAGGGAGCGAGGGGGCTGCGCACCCGCCCGGGGCCGTGCGGGGCTGTTCCCCGCGCCCCGGCCGTGCCGCTCCCCCCGCGGGGCCGGGCGCTGTCCGCGGTGCTGAGCGGGCCGCGCAGGGGTGGGAGGTGCTGCCGGGCAGCTCAGGGGGCCGGAACGAGTCGTATTTCCAGCGTACCACGGAAAGCTCTCTGGCCTTCATTGTCTGGCTCCTTCCCTTGGCGAGCCTCAGATTCTACGAGGATGTAAATATTTATGGTAAACCAAGTCTGTTTGCTCCAGACACACGCTCTTCTGGAAAGCCAGAGGGGAAGGAGTAAGAGCATAGGCTGTCTGCCTGCCGGGCAAAGACCCGACCGGGTCGCGCCTCGCAGTGACTGACGGCTTAGGAGTTCTTTGCGTGATCTCTTATTGACTCTTTGCACTGCAATCCTGCCACGATTTCCTATGACTGTTTGTTTACGTTTATAAAGACAGTTGGTAAGAGTTGTATTATTATTTCTCACGTTGGGCACTGAGCAAATGTTTTGCCCGATTGCTTGAAATCACCTTTAAAATGATAGCCCGAATAGATGGGAAAAGGTCGTGTTAGCTAGGACCACTAATACCTGTGAAGCTATGTTTAAAAGTTAGTCTTTGTACACTCGGTGTTTTTGTTACACGTCCGGTTCCTGGACAGCAAGTGTGCTCGACAAAGCAATGGTCTTGACTACTTAATCCTGTCAGCTGGCTGATTTCCTTCCAAAACCGGGCTAGTAATTTTTTGCTTTTCGCTTGAGTCCTTCAGGAAGGACACGTCCGTGCTGCTCTTTGCGCTGCCCAGCACCCCCCTCACGGGTTGGAATTCTGTGGTTCCATGGGCTGTTTCCCCTCCTCCCATCTCATTGCAGATTCCTCCCAGCCCCTGACGTGACATCTTTTTGAGAAGGGTTTGGTTTAGACATCTGCGTAGCTACCGCGGCATGCTGAAGTATAGCTCCGCGGTCACCACCGCAAAATGTTGGTGAAGCATGTTTGGGTTGTGGGATGGAGTGACACAGATCTGAGGTTGTCGGGGGTACAGAAAACTTGTTGTCTTAGTGTTTCTCGTTTTAGCAAAGGGATGTCTGGTATAAAATCGTAATTTAGTGGCAACACTCAGGGCAAGTTACAGGAATCCAGGTGTTCCCCTGCGGCGGTGCCCGTGCCTCTGCCACCCTCTGGCGGGGAGCGGACCGAGCCGGCCTCGGGAACCGCGGGGTGAGCCAGCGGGACACATCAGACCCTCGGCACGGCGGAGGGGAGGCGGGGGGTGTTGCTAAGCTACAGTTCACACGGACCCCGCCTGGCTCGTTCGTGGCCCGCACCGTGCGCGGGGGAGTGCCGGGGCCGCGGGTACTGTCGGGGCGGGAGTTCGGCCCCGTCGCCTCAGCGGTGCGCCGGTGTGTGCGGTGCTCCGCCGCCTGTTAGCACCGCCGGCGACCTCGGGGCAAGCCAGTGCTGCCTAGAAAAAGCCTCTGGCTCCTTCCGCGCGGGGGGCTCAGCGAGGGACTCGGGAGGCAGAACCCCCTGCCCGGGGTGCTGCCCCTGTTGCGGCTGGGCAGCCCAACCCGCCGCGGGAGTCAGCGCAGCCGCCCCGGGGTGAAGCGGACCAGAGGCAGCCGGCGGGGCCGGGGGCTGCCCGTCCCCGCCCCAGCGGTCCCCAGCCCCCGTGCGGAGCGGCGCGGAGGGGGTGGCGGCAGCCCTGTGACTCATGCCTGCGTCGAAGCAGATCAACCGGCGATTCACGCTTTCAGAAAAGCAAATCCGAGCACTTCTGGAAAAAAAAAGGTCATCTCGCATTAAATTCCGCGGCGCGATTGGTATTCCGACGTCGTTTCTGGCAGAGTTTATAAGCGGCGGGTCGCTCCCAGGCTAGAGTCGCCCTGCCTTCCTGGACTACGGCAGCAAGAGTGTCCGCTCACCCCCTCGGTAAGTGTCCTCTAAACATCATCCTATTTTTTCAAGCCTTCGGGAACCTCTTTCAGGATCTGGAGCATTTTTTCCCCCCTAAAATCGGTTTGGGTCGTTGTCGTACCTATTAAGGAATAACGGGTATTTTGATATAGCTAGCCCCTTAGACATCGTGTTAACCTGTTACTTCACTTCCAGGCATTGTCTAGAAAATCTCTTCTGCTTTATGGCTTTTTTCTTTTTCGTCTTAAAGAAATTAGATACCTCTTTTCCATTGAAATCATTGATCAGGTGTGTTTACGCGCGGGTGTAAATGAATCGGTAGCCACCGATTTGAAAAAAGCTGCTAACAAAGAAAACGTTCCTTCGTTACCGCGACCTTCATTTTCTGCACAAGGGGAAGAAAATAAATCGCAGGTAGCCGTGGGGACAAAGAGACGAGATGGGCACTGACCCAGCAATTTTCGATCAGCGACCCTGTATTGGTTATCGGAGCGCTGTGTCCGCCTGGAAAGAGATGAACATCTGGCGAGGAGAGAGGGCTGGTCCAGCACCTTCCTTTCCCCAGACAGACATGCCTCTCCTGCCATTTGTGCCGCTGAAGAGAGCGCAGGCATGGGAGAGCGCTGTTTAGAACTGGAGCACGTACTGGCCCCGATTTGCAGAAACGTGTGTGCAAATACACATGTGTGTGGCGCCTGTCACTGGACCTGGGCAAAACGCACCTTTGCGATGGCGGGGGTTTATCTGTCAGTCTTTCCTGAATGCTTAGCCTGGCGTGTGTTTGGTAACGCAGAGAAGTGGGCTCAGTTTGGGATTGTAGGTCATTTGGGCTGTGCTTTCGAAGCCCGCTTTGCACATTGGTCTCCACTTGACGCGAGCCATATAATTGCCCAGCTCAGTGGCCACCGATATAATTGCGATAGACTTCATGCCCTGCTACATCCGTCATTCAGGCGCGGGGGGTAGCGCCCTGGCATCCAGCGAAGGGACGATTTTGCTCTTCAGCCTGTCGAGGCGTTTTCCCGGTGCGGTCGGCCCCGGCCCGTCCTGCCGCCGCCCCGGGACCTGCACGGCTGCCGCCCGCCGGCGTCTGGACGGGACTCCGGTGTGGTGCTCCAGGAGACCAGACTGCTAAACCCGCCTTTTCTTCCTTCCAGCAAATTCCTTGCTGCCCACCCCTCAGAGGAATATCGAGGAAACCCGGGCTCCGGAGCTTTTCTGAAGGGATGGCTTCCTCCGCTCCCTCGTCCTCCAATGATGCTCCGGACCCCACCTCACCTAATTTACGACCTACAAGTAGGTTTTAATATTTTCCTCGTTTAAAGTGTTTTAGAGGCTTTCTCCACTTAGGCTCAGAAAGACCAGCGTCGAAACGAAATGTTGTATCTTTGAAGCCCTGTTCCGCGCCGTTAAGCAAGGTGTGGAAAGTGCTCTATACAAAGAAACCATCTTCCTACTGGGAATGGGAGAGGTTATTCAGTGGCGAATAAAACGCTGTAAGGAAAAGCCCACCTTAGAGGCCGGCGCTGTCTTTATCTTACAGCCACAGCCGCATTTGAGAGATTTAGACAATAAACTGACCTTCCAGATGGCAAAAAATTCGGGATGTTGTAAGAGGTGTGGAGCAAATGAATCCATTAAAGGGCGACGTTACACCAGTGCCTTAAAGCGAGTGTCTCCCCCCTACATTTTATAAATGCTAATGCTGCAGCTTCCTTTCAGCCTACGCTGAAGCCTGTAATCAAGCGAAATTTGGATGCTAATTGCAGCTTTTCAAAGCGTTGTATTCCTAATTGCTCTGAATTCGCCTAGAGTTATTGAGGTGTGAGTGGGAAGCAAAGGCTGCTGCAGGTGGATAGAGAATCAGTTTATAGCCCTGCCAGGCAATTCAGGCCGTCGCCTACCAAAAAAAAAAAAAAAAGAGACTCGATGCTATAAAGCATCAGAGACAAAGAGCGGGCAACAGTAAGAAATGAAAGGTTGTCAGGGACAGCAGAGCGGGGAATAGCTTTTACCCTGAAAGAGCTACGAGGCACGAGCATCGGAGTCATTATTGTCATTATTCTGAAACTGGAAAAACGGGGGAGGGGGCGAGAGGCAACACTAGGTCTTGTTCCATGAACGGGTGACAGGCACTGCTGCCTTCGACTGAGGTGTCACACGCAGAAATCGAATTAACTAGCAACACGGGTCAAACCAAGATAACCGCTGGCAGCAGCTCCCCGCCCTGCCCGCCTGGGGCTCCCCGCCCCCGGGCACGGGCGGCACCCCTGCCGAGAGGGCTCCTCTGCCCGGCCGGGAGCGCCGCGGCTCTTCCCCCGCTCCTCCTTCCAGGGATCGAGCCGCTGCCCTGCCTGCCCGGGTGAGCCGTCCCTGTCCCGGCCCCTCTGACACCTTCTCCCCTCACGCCGCAACCCCGGTCAGTGCCCCCCGCGCTGCCGGACCTGCGGCTGCCCCGGGCGAGGGCCAGAGGGTCTCGGCTGTATCCTGGGCCGCGGCTGCTGCCCCCTCTACCCGGGCCCCGCTCCCCGCTTCGCCCGGGCTCAGGTGGGGCCGACCGGGGCGTGTCTGGGCCGCGGCTCCCGGGGCTGGGAAGGAACCTGTCCCCACCGCTGGTGCCGTCCTAGTGCGGCAGTCGGCGGCCCGTCAGTCCGTCCGGGGCTCAGTCATGCAAGTCCGATCATCTAGTCAAATACTATTTTTCACCCAATTAATTCCTGAACTCTTTTGTGACCCCATTTCACGCCACTTTATTTTAAGCTGCCACTTCCCTGGAGCCCCGCCAGTAAATGATGAGATGTTCGAGTCCCGGCTGCCTTTCCCTCTCCTCTGGGCGAGCCAGCATGTCACCTCGCTGATACCCGAGCCTCAGCTGCCCGGCGCCACCGGGCTCGGGAATCAGCCGTTCCTCCCTGCTATGGGGCCGTGCGGGAGGTCCGGGGGGGCAGCGCGGCGGCCGAGCAGCCCTGCCGCCCCAGGGGAACGACTCTGCCCTCTTTTCCAGCTTATGACTCGTGGTGCGGCGTGGCTCACGGGTGCACCAGGAAGATCGGGCTGAAGATATGCGGTAAGTGCCCCCTTGCCTCCCCGTCCGACACCCCAACACCCCAACACATGGGTGAACACCCCGAGACCCAGTGGTGCCTCGGGCGCCCCCTGCGGGCAGCACGGCGGCTGGGCTGGGCTCGGCTTGGCTAGGCTCGGCTCGGCTGGGCTCGGCTCGGCTAGGCTCGGCTGGGCTGGGCTCGGCTCGGCGGCCCCCGGCCCCGCCGCTGTGCCCTCCCTTGGGTTTGCGTTGGCCGGGATTTTGCCCGCCGGGCGAGGGACGGCTGCGGCCCCGCTGCCCCTCCTACCGCACACGGGGAGGTGCGGGCGCCGGGCGCTTCGGGCGGGGGAAGAGCAGGGCCCGCCGGGGAGGGGGTTTGGCCGCCTCTCACTGTCTGAAATTTTTCAACCTTATCTGACTAGAAAATACGGATCTCCGGGGGAAAAAAGATTAACGAGAGCCTTATTAAAGAGCAATTCGTCAGCTTGCTGTGCTGGTAAGATAGCGCTGGCAGCCAGTCAGCGCGCAGGCACATGAAATGCAGAAGGGAAACAAATGCACAATCAGATCGCAACGTTATAGCAAGAGATTCATTTGCAGATAACAAGCTGTCTCCCTGCTCCAGATTTCTCAGTAGTGCCTTTGCTTTCGGAGACTAACAGTCAGTTCTTCATTTTCTGGTGAGGAGAATCATTCAATTTAGCTCATGCCCCTTATGCATAGAAATTATTTCCCATTTTCCCCATCTACCTCTTTTTTGGAGGGGTGGGAAATTATTTCGTGTGGGAAACGAACCTTTTTTCAAAGCAAAGGAATATTTAAACCTCTTTCCCCACCTGCTCGAGTAGAAGTTCATTCTCTAAACGTTTTGTTACCTGGAAGTTTGGACTGGAAAAGAATCGGAGCACGAATGTTTAGCCCTGTGTCTGTTAGAGATTTCATTGGTAGCCGCTGGCGACATTAACGAGTAGTCGCTTAGTTCTATAAATAGCTCCTGATCTGGGTTTAATGGACCGTCTCCCTACCAGTCCCTTCAGTGGCTGGAGCAATGGGCTTTTTCACCATCATTTTAATTTAGCCCGGCAAGCAGAACTGATAAAGTAACGCGCCGTTAGGCTTGCTCCATGTTGCTAGACTACCGGGGTTACAGAGGGACATCGCAGCTTCTCTCAATGAGATCAAATACATAGAAAATGAAACATCCCACCATTTTGGATTTGAAAAAGGCAAAAGGGAGTGTAGTAAAGGCTTTGTGAAGGGAATTGAAAACAAGCAGCGCTACTGTATTTCTGGCTCGGGTTTAGTGTTCAGTTTTCCTTTACTGGCTATTTCCTGTTTTACTCTGAATAGTGACGGCTGTTTGGAATAGTTGGATTCGATCACGACCACTGTTTTTGCTTGTATGAGCCCTTCCATTTTAATCGAACACCTTCACAAAGACAGACAGGAAAGGTTGCCTTTGGTAAATATCTAGAGTGAAGTATTAGGGTTGTCAAGAATCCTAATTAAAAATGTTCAACGAATTGATGTGTGACTATTCAGATGATATCCTTGTCCTTACCTTTCACAAGACATCATTCTGGACCCTAAATACTGTGCAGACTCAAAGCTATAGTAAAACAGGTGCCTCGGAATTGTTCTTTCTGCGTGTATCACACAGAAATCGATATATTTTGAATGCAAACTTTAAATGAGGATTGACCTCAGAGAAAAGGCAGATCTTGAACAATGAGTTGGTTCTTCCACCTGGCTTGTATATTATGTGTTTGACATTTTCAGTAACTGCGTATCCAAGATGTTTGTAATTTCTTGTCAAATAACTGACAGATTTAAGGATTAGCTTTTTTCCTCTCCTGTTGAAAGCCAGCGCCTAAAAGAGCCCGGTGGCTGCCACACCCCCGCTCTTCGTCTCTGCACATATACACTTAAAAAACCCCAAAAAACCAAAACAAAAAAACCCAAACCACCAAAGCTATTTTAAAGCGGTTTAATGAACTGTCACGGCGGGCAAAATATGAGAAGATTTCCCCCTGTGTCTGGATCACTCCCACCTCGGCAATTATAATTGCAAGGACCGATCGTGCTAACATTTGCTTGGCATCAGTGGAAATACTGACGTAGTAAAATTGCTCAGGTGCGTCTTCAGCTGTTTGGCCGCGGCCAGCTGATGATTCCAAGACCAACGAGCAACGCGGCAGAGGGGGCTTTCAAAAGCAGCCATGTATGTTATAAACCCGGCTCGTCTCCGGCGTCCGTGGGATTTATGCCGCCAAGTCACGAAGATGGTGCTGAACACTCCGGCCGTGCGGGGGGACCAGGACCTCTTGCAGCCGCCAAGGACGTGCATCCCCTGACGCCTGCGGTGCGTGCCGGGACACGGCAGGTTTGTCCCCACCTCGGAAGGGGTTCACACGCCTGCCTCGTACGAGACCTAATGTGATATCATGCCGGATTTGTGGTCACATTGCACACCGAGGGACTCCCCAGTCTGGTCTCATTCGGGTTTTGAAAACTCGGTCTCTTAAAGAGCATCGATGAAAATGCACCTGCGGGACAGACCCACTGCTGGGAAAGGCTGCAGTCTCTGCAGCTGCAGGAGAAGCTGGAACTTACTGGAACTCTCCTACACTGGCCTCTCTTTTCACGCAGGATACAGATGGAAGGTTGGCTACAGTCATGCGCTGCTCCCCGGGCGCCGAGGGAGCCCTCCAGGGCCGGCCGCCGCGCTTCTCTGCAACCCGGGATGCGGGTCAGCGCTGGGAAATGTCCCCCATCCTCCCAGGGAAGCGAGAGGGTCCGGCGCCCCCAAAGCGGGGACTGCCGCTGCCCCGCGGGCTCCCCCTTGTACCGACTCTCCAGGCCGTGTGAGAACTGCCGTGGCCGAGGGACCCGGGCGAGTGGCACGTTACTTACACCCGGACGGGCTGATGCCGGACGGCAGCGGGTTCTTCCTTTCAGGCTTTTTGTCCTTCCAGTCGCCGCCCTCGAGCCGCCCCAGCGCAGCCCCGCGGGGTCCACGCGGCGCGCACTGACGGGCCCCGTGCGCTGCGAGCCCCAGCTGGTCCCGCCGCCGGCTCCGCGGGGAAGAACAGCGCGGAGTCCTTGGGGCAAGGGCTGAGCTCCGTGCCCCCGCGCCTAGTTAGGTCAGACCCTTCAGTGAAGCCATTGTCCCGCTGGGCCCGATGCGAGCCGAACTGGGGGCAACTACAGCCTTTCTCGGTTATTGAAGCGCTGCCTTCTCCTTTCCCACCGGAGCCTCCGAGGCACAATCTCCTCTGCAAGCCGAGAAGAGTGGCAGTCGAGCGGCGGGGAGCAAGGCCCTCGAAGGGAGCAGAGCGCCGCTGCTCCTGCAGACGTCTCCGCACGGAACTCTTTCCCACTGAGCCATCGGGTGCCTGGAAAAAAGACAGGTGGAAAATTAAAGCAAAATGAAGCAAAACGGTGAAAGAGGATCGCTTCGTAATTCAGTCTAGACTGCACCTGCTTCAATATCAGCTGCTCCTCCTAACGAGCAGGCGAACAGCCCTCTAGCTGTTGCAGGAGCTGGTGATCGCCGGAAGGACTGTTAAAAGCAGGAACAACAGAATTAAATATATACATATGTATGTATATATATATGTCATCGATCCTGGACGGCTAGTCTCAACTTATGCACTAAGAGAGTTTCCCTTAAATAGTCTTTTTCGCATTTATAAAAGCATCACGTAAACCAACTAATTAACAGAAGATCAGTATTAAACGGTAAAACATGAGGTCTTCATTGAAAGTATGACCCTGACAAAATTGCCTGCAAGCCACCATCATGAAGATTGGTTTAGCTGCCCGGGTGATGCAGAAGGGGCTGCCAGCCGGGTGCTCCATTTTCAGTGCTCCTTAGGGACTGTCCGGTAGTAGGGTCCGAGGCACAGGTAGCGTTGCCGGTAACCATTAGCCCAACGACCCGCTGTCCCTCCCTTTTCTCTCACGGAGGTGCAGCCCCTCTACCTGTCCAAGCTGCAGGAGGCCCGGGTGGGCCGGCTGTGGGCGCTCGATGGGAAGTGCCTGCAGTCTCTGTTGGCCGTCGGGGCTCCGGAGAGCAGGGATACCTGGCCGGAAACCGGAGGGCGCTGGAGAGAAGCGGCGTCGGGGAACGTGGGTGAGCGAAGTCACGACATTGGTTTTCTTCTTCGCTGAGCTCCCCTCTCTGGCGCATATTCCCAGCCGCGACGAGCCTTGGTTTCGGCTGTTACTTGTTTTGAAAGAAAGTAGAGAATGAAGGAGACCGGCGCGGCCATAGTGCTCCAATCATATAGACACGCTTGCTGCAACCTGGGAGGTCAAAATTCGATGCCTTCTTTAATGACGAAAAGCCCGACATTATGCGTGTTTTAGAAGGTATTAGTGATTTAATGGATCAAATCCAGAAAATTAATTGCTCTCCCTGCCTTATTAAAGTAGACGGGTCTCGTTACTCGCCACAGACCCTGCGTGGCGCTCACACCCATAATTCTTGGGGTGAGTGGGTTTATTATTACTGTCACACATAACAACGGCAGTTGTGTTCGGTCCTGGGCGCCAGAGGTGAGTTTCCAGTGAGAGCGAAGCTCCTAAAACCTCCGGGGATGATTAGTGTTAGTGTCAAAGTATCTTTTCAGGTGGAAGATCCACATCAGTACGTACTTATAATAGGAAGGTGGGTAGTACCGGTGTTCTGAGAGCTCTGGCACTCTCAGGATGGCTGCTCGAGAATGGCTGCTTGTTCTCATGCCTTTTGTGCGTGAGAGCACCACGAGGAGAACTGAAAATGGCCCTGATTTTAATCATACATCATTGCCCCTGTCTACTAGGTCCATAAACTTCGCCTGCAGGCTGAAATAGCATTGACTCATCCTGAACTCTCTTCCAGTGGCTGATTACTGAAGTGGAATCTGTCTGATCGACTTAATAAGAATTTACCACTGCACTAAATGACGAAATTTTGTTTTTTGCATGGCTGCTTTTTTGCAGTTGATGGCATTTTGAACTCTCCCTCCTGGAGGCAAATAATCCCCATAAATACTCTTATTCCTGACATCATTAGTCAGATCTAGAACTAACACCGCTTTGAACTGTTGTCTAGAGAGCTGCTTTAGATAGTTCTAAACATGTTGGGAAGTGAGAAAACTCTGACCTGTGCACCTTGCAATAATAATGTAGGGTTCCTGCAGAGGACCAACAGCCTAGAAGACAAGAGCCGCATTGTCAGCTCCCTGAAAGAAAGGCATCAGTCCTCCAAGAGCATGCTGGCGTGCGAGAACAGCGAGAAGGAATCCAGGTTCCGGCGCACCGAGACAGACTTCTCCAATTTGTATGCCAGAGGTAAACACTTTACAGCTTCTCTTTGCGCCAGCTCAGGCACGTCCCTTAATAGTCTTACCCTCGACTCCCTTGTAAGTGCAGCCACGTTCAGACCGTGCTTTTGCTTGATTGTTTTTGAAGGAAGCTCTGTGTCTGTGTTTGTTAGGGCCGTACTAACAATGTGTAAAAGTTTCTTGAAGTGCAGTTTTACGTACTTTATGCTGATCCTCTGCAGCTCAGCTCCAGCATCCGGGGGGAGAGTAATTTTATCTTTTATGTCCTCCTTAATAAAATAGCAACGAAGCGGTCTGTGACTGCTGGTACGGTGCCATTGGCAAGAAGAGTGGGAAAGGGAAAATCCATTTGTGGGGCAGAGGTGGGGACATTGCAGGGGAAGGGCAGGTGCGCATTTGGGGTGCTTTCGGACCAAGGAAAGTGAATGCCTAGCACCGCGTTAGCGTTGCAGGGTGAACTTTTTGACCTGGGTGCCTTGGAGGTGCCTCTGCTATTGTCACCCTCAGCCATGGGTGACTTTGCATCACCCTTCCCCACCGGACAGGAGGGACTGGGAGCCTGCCCTGCTGCAGCCAGGCTGCTCTGGGGCCACAGCTTCCATGTCCTTGAAGCACTTCAGGCAGCCGAGGCTGGTTCATTTTTGCTTCTCTATCCCAAAGCAAGCGCTGACATGTGGTTTGCCCCACAGATTTGTTGCCCTCCAAGAATGGTGAGGAGCAGACCATGCAATTCCTTCTCGAGGTTGTGGACATCCTCCTCAACTACGTGAGAAAGACATTTGACAGATCCACCAAAGTGCTGGACTTCCACCACCCGCACCAGCTCCTGGAGGGCATGGAAGGCTTCAACCTGGAGCTTTCGGACAACCCCGAGTCCCTGGAACAGATTCTGGTGGACTGCCGGGACACGCTGAAATACGGAGTGAGGACAGGTAGGTTTTTGCACACTACTTTGTAGAGAGTCTCTCCTGGGACTTTTCTCAGGCTCGCGGTGAAGCGAGAGGGATTGAGTTTATGGAGGTAAGCCCACACCCTCTCCACACCCGGGACTGTACTTGCCTGGAGGCTCGGCTCCAGGGCTGTCTATGGGCACTGGAAATGTCTGTGCTCAGAAACTTTAGTTATTGATGCTCCATCCAGAGCAATGGGTAGAGCTCGGTGCTGTTTACAGAGCACAGAAACAAGTTTTTAGACGTAATCTCTTTCACTTGATGAAATGCGAGCTGTCTGTGTCTCCGGGGAGCAATATCATTAGGTAAATGAGAGCGTAAATGACACTGAATTTGCAGTTTTTCTTCTTTATGTTCATCAGACGTTTAATGAAAAAGAGACTGAAATCTTAGGAATCATCAATAAAGGAACCCTGTGGATTTCAGCCCATTACCCAGGGCCCCTGCCTGTCCAGGTCCTTCTGAATCAGACAGAAATGCCGGTTTATAACCACTTCTTTTACTGGGTGAACTGTAGCCAGACTCCAGAGCAAAGTTAATGCTCTTTCAGGCTATCTGGCCTGAAGTGTTTTGCATCTCTATCCACCGAAATTTCGACTGGCAACAAGCCCTGACTGCTGTAGATACCCAAGCAGGTCAGGAATAGGAGCGATAACGGAGCGGGTGCTGTGTCTCCCCTCCCCAGTCTTGCTCCAGCATTTCGGGCCAGCTGCCCTCTTGAGCACAGGTCAGTTCAGCACCCGGAGAAGGGGGCAGTTTCCCTCGGGAGCTGGAGTGGCAGGCGGCGGGAGCTCGTACAGAGAGTCTGTTGCCTGGCGATCTCTGGCTTGGCCGCTGCGAGCCATGGCTCCTGAAGGGCGAGGCGCAGCTTTCTGCAGTGGTTAGTTAGGCAGCTGTGAAAACCCAAAGCAGTGCATTCAAGGAACAAAATCTTGAAACAGATGTGAAGCTTAGCGTCTTGTCTTTTTTTTTTTTTTTTTTTTTTTTTCCCTATTTACATGGTGGTTTGATTTACTCAGGGGAGTCAGGAGCATACTTTGATTTTGTACTCTTAATCAAAGGGGAGCGCGTTTCTCTTCCGAACGCGTGGGTTGTTGAAGAGGTGACCAGCAGCTAAGCCTTGTGTGGCTGTGCCCTGTGTACTTGCACCTTTACTCTGCTATCAATAGCCCCGGCATATCGAGCTACCTCGTCCCCTCACCCCGACTTTCCCCGGAGCTCTTGTGGGACCGGCAGGACGTGTGCCCGGGAGCTGAGAGGCAGGTATCCGACCAGACACAAAGCAGTAGCTGGTGCAGCTTTAAAGAAGAGCCGCTCGGACCATATGACACCCAGAACACACGCCCTGGCTTCCCAGGCTCCTGGGGCTCACATTCTCTCTCCAGGCGAAGCTCCCTTTAAAGCCACCGGGGCCGAATTTGCAGCCCAGCCTTAGGAGACCGCGGGCTCGCCAACAGCTTTGGGAGGTCAGCGAAATGTCGCTTGGGATAATTTCTCAGTCCGTGTGTCATGGCCAGGGAGAGAAGGGCTGATTTGTAAAGCAAACAGCTAAGCCGTGGTGCTATTTCTGGCTCTAGCCCTGAGCCGCTGTGCTCCCCGGGGCGGGAGCAGCCCGGGCGCGGCGCACCCTGCTCGGGAAGCGTCGTGATGTGGCAGCGCCGGCAGGCTCACGCCTCCGAAAGGTTCCTGCTGACATCGCTCGGAGCACAATCGCATTTACTTCTTCATGTCAAAAGATGCTGATTTTCACAGTGCTGAACCGAATGCGACATGACAGGTCCCTCCAGGCGTCGAGCGCTGACCCCCCCTCTCGGGGGCTGTCCCTCGTGTGCTATCTGCGTGTCCTTTCCCAGAGAACAGAGAAGGTTTAAATCATGACATCTCCTACCTCCCCTCAAAGGCCCTTATCAGTTGTTAGGAATTTCTCCTTTTCATGCTAGAAAAGTAGGCACTCAACCTTATTGCTTGTAAAAGTTGTTAAAACAACTCTGTCTGAAATACGGGAATATTATTTACTTCGGCTCTTTAGCAAATCCTTTGTTTAAGGAAGTGAATCCTAGCTTTTTAACCAAGTGGGGAAGGGCCTGAGCTGAAGAGCTCTTGGAGGACCCTCTCACACCGTTGCAGCACGTCGTGCCACTCTGGGACATTCCCACCGAGATGCGGCGAAACACCTCTCCCGTGGCCCTGCAGCTCAGGAAGCGACTGGCTCCTCCGCACCCTTCTCTCACTCCTGCAGTCCCCACTCAAGCGGCTGAGCCTTCCTCTCTTACTCCATTCGAATGCAAATGAACCCAGCACCTGCAGATTGTCACTGCCAAGGGTCCCCTCACCGTGTCATCATCATGGCTAGGCTTCGCTAACCAAGATTTGAGAAGGGCTCCACCCACGCTTGCTACTCTCGCCCGAATTCACAGCACGACCGAGGTCGGGAGGGGGTTCTGGAGTTGAACTAACCCTGTGCAGTTCCCGGAGGTGTTTTACAGGCTCAGTCTGCTCTGAGGTTTTATCTTAAATTTAAACGCTAATGATTCCATCCAGGAGCTCCTTCCAAAGCGGTTTTTCAAGTTTGTAACAAGACATCCGTGAATGTTGGCTAAGATCTCCCCATAAGCAAGACTTGCTTTGAAAACTTTGCTTCAAGTGTTATGACTGCAAAACCTGTCGTTTCTGTCAGAATAGTTGAACGGTTTAAAATTGAAACCTAAGAAACACCAGTGGAACCTGTTCTAAATTGCTCTCAATTCTCTTTCCAGGTCATCCTCGCTTTTTCAATCAGTTGTCCACAGGACTGGACATTATTGGCTTGGCTGGGGAGTGGCTGACATCAACTGCTAATACAAACATGTAAGCAGTGCCTTGTCGACAGCGTCTGTGACTGGTGCTTACAGGGGCTGCCGTGTATCACGGTTGATATGTCACAGACATGAATAATTTTCATATTTAAATGATGATTGTTGCATCTTCAATAAAACTATCTCATGTTTTTCTTAATGTGGCAGTAATACAGTGAAAAGAGTTATACAAAGCTGAACAGTTTTGCATTTTTGATAAATAGAAATGCAAATATCCCAGAGTACATGGTAAGTACTGATTATTCTAATATAATAACATGAAATTGTTTTTCTTCTTTTGGACCAATCTTCTTTATCTTTTTCTGTTTTTTTTTTTTCTTTAAAGCTTTGTCTCTAGACTGAGTAATTCTACAACTATCCATGTATTAACACTAGAATACAAACTGTGTAAAGGTTTATTGTTTTTTCTCCTGTTGACTTCAGAGATACCAGGCTTGAGGCAACACCTTCTCCCGTTTATGTGCTGGTAAAGAAGTGGCTTCTGGGTGGCTTCAAAATGCTTAAAAATGTAACATTGAAAATAATTTGATGACAATGAAAGAATTAGTCTGAGAATAATAAAGTTGTGTGTAAGGGAATAAATGGAAGTATAAAAAGGTAAAAATTAACATTTGAATGTAACAAATAATAAACTTTTCCTAATTTTTCTTGACCTCAAAATTAATGAAAACTGAAGGTCAATGTAAGGTACATTTTTGCAACAAAGAGTGCAATTAATGAAAAGAAAAAAACAAACCACAAAACAAAAAAGCCTTCTAGTCAGTTTTTGTTTAAATTTTGATTTCTATATGATAAAAAATATGATGGGAGCCCAAAGGCAGGTAACAGACTGCTCTGTTTTAGTCCTGTATGGGATGTGTTTTAACTCTAAAGCTGCCTCTTTTTTGAGTAATTTGTTACTACTTGTTGGAACACAGGAAATGTATCTGCAGATTGGAAAGTGAACAATATTTTCATTGGCCTATCCATGAGTACATGATTCCTTAAATAAAGTTGATTACTAGCAGTTCTATGTAGATTATGAGCTGTGCCTGTTTTGAGGCATCAGAAGAATACCTAAGGTGCTCCAGCCAAAACCAGCCTGCTCTTTGTAATAATCATCTCATTTAGTCCTCTGTTTAGTAAAAATAAGTATGATTCAGATTTAAGAGCTGAGTGGAAAGAAAACCCAGCAACATATATTTTGATTGTTAAACGAGTATTGTGAAATGCTTGACAGGGTTTTTAAATGCCTTTTTTAATAGCACAATTAAAAGTGAAAACAGTTCTGATCACATTTCTAAAAGAAAACTTTGCTTAATGGTTGTTTCTCTGTGACAAAAACATGCTTCTGAGTGTAGTTTTTGCAAGCCCCTTTCCCTTTGACTTAGTTATCCCAGTTTATTAATCATTTTGTGATTACCAAATTACAAATTTGAAATTACCCAAATCTGATAGGACACAACAGAATTCAGCTCTGCAGCAGATTGTAACAGGGTTAGAAAATATTGCCATTGGTATTAAGAACATTCCACCCATTCATTCACTTCTCAAAGAGTAACTCTTCTTTTAACTGATGTTGCTTTTTCCTTTGTTTGTTTTAAAAATTTAGTTTTAAATTTAGCTAGTTCTGTAAAGCTAGTTTCTGATTAATTTATGCTTTAAACAAGAACATATCTTGAAAATACTTCTCTGTGAGAATGATAGTTTACTACCTACTTGCTTGTATAAGGTCTAGTAAATGCAAAATAATACATTGCTCTCTTTTTTCAGCAAACCAAGGTCAACATGGGGTGCTTTAAAATAACAGTAATTGCAAGTAAGGCTAAAGGAAGATACTTGTAAAATATGATTCAAAGAACTGACAGAGAAGGTTATTAAAAATAGCCAAAATCATCTCTGTGAGCTCTGGGAAACATATTATTTGTTTTGAACAGTGTTCCAGCACACAAGAGCAGGTTTTGACCTTTACCTAGGAACTGTTCTAACCTATTACAGCTACATAAGCACGTAACACACAAGTGACAGTTACAGGGAAATATGGCAGGGAATGTTTTCCATTTGCTATTTTTTCTTTTCTGTGGATAAACAATACTTAAAATGTTTAAGAACAATTAAAAATATGTTTTCTTTTGCAGATGAGTTTTGAGTAATCAAAACATCTGTACTCACTTAAAAATTTAAATTATCATTAGAAAATGTTACTTAAATGTGATTGTGAAGATAATATATAAAATTAAACATAATAAGCTTCCCACGTTGACTTGGACATAATGTGTCAATGTGCTGTTCATGGCTCAATCACTAATCATGAGACCTTCAGGGTGGAAATTTCAGAAGCTGCCATTATTCATCCAGTTCTAGGGATCTGTAGTCCAGGGCATTCTATCACCATGCAGCAGCAAACTGGGTTAGAAAGCAATAATATTATCTGGAAGTTCTCTACGTGCCCACTGTCAGCTGAAACATGAGAATTGTATTGGTGATTTCAGTATTATACACCCATGCCTATGAAAATGTAACACAGAAAATCGATGTGCAATGCTCTGTGCTTATTCTCAGAATGCTTTTTACATACTTGCAAACAGGAGAACAAGTACCTAGAATGATTTGGTCTGATAAAGTGATTTGCCTTTTAGGTGAGAGCAGAATTAAGCCAGCATTGGCTTCTACCAAAAAAAGTAATTAATTTGTTCTGTTAGTCAAGATCTGAGACTCGCAACTGTCCTAGTCAAGTCATAGAAATGCCTGTAAAGGTTGTAACTGTATGAAATGAGTGGTTTTTGTCAAGAGATTGATTCTGAAGTTGGATCCTCCCTTCTAAGCCAAACACACTTTTGGGTTTAACTGATTTTTTCAAAATAATTTAAATTTAAAAGAAATAAATTTGAGTGAACTTTAGCAAGATGCGATTTGTAAAATCACAGCCATCATCTAATATAGCTACATTGGCCTTGTAATTTATAATCATCTGCAGTCTTTTATTTCTTGTCAGTTTTTATGATATTTTATATAAAAAAACTTGCTTAACATTATACATTTTTTCTACAAGCCTATAAGTCTTCTGGGAATTATGTAGGGATCAGTGTGCAAGGTCTCAAGACAAAACTCAAAATTTAAAGTATTTAAACTATTTAAACTTGTGGGGGAAAAAATTCACATTGACTTAAACACATCTTGTATTGAGTTACAGTGATCTATACTCTGCTGAGTTCCTGTTGACTTCAGTTGATCATTCTGCCTAAATAAAGATTGGAGTATATTCTAGACTTGCAGTGCTTAAACCCAAACCAAACCAAAAATCCCTGCTATTAGCAGACACTGGTTCATTAATTTTGTTTATTTGTAAATAAAGGCAGCACCCAAACTTCAGATCAGTGTTCAACTGTCTCTGGCAGTTCTAATGATAATAAAAGCAGAAATAAGTAGTCTTTTGGCTTCTGGAAATAGCAATTATAACAATTAAACAAATTACAAGTGTTTAATCTTAAAGGAATGTTTTAAAAATGGTGGTGGTGTTTCTCTAATGGACTAAGGATACACAAGGATTGAAGAAAAAATTAACAGTTTAAGTAACCAGTGTACTGTAAATAAAAACCAAGATTTTTTTAGACACTTGTTTTCTTCTTAATATGACCTACCTCCTTCAAGTCTGCCATACTTATTCTTAAAATATCATTTTGGTATTAAAGAAACAGCACATACATTCTGATGAAATTATTCAAGTGGAAGACATCAGTCAAATCTAAAGTGTCCGGATGTCATACTCTTATTGACTCCTTTGGAAATCACAGGTTGATGGTTTTGTTTCTCTCTGCTTTCTTTTTTCCCCCTTTTTTTTTTCCCCATACAGAGCAAGCAGAGTTTGTTTACAGCAGTAGCAATTTATTCATGTACCTTGATCACCAAAAATGGTTGTATGGCTGTCACTTTCCATCCATGTATCTGACTGTGACATCAGGGCATACCAGGCTATGTAATGTTTCTTTTCCCTCATTAAGTGGATACAATAGTTGACTGCTGACTTGGTTTTCGTAATTGGTAATTAGAAAATCATCATTTATAATTACTCTTGACAGTTATTGATCACACTGTATTGTAGAAATAAGTTGTCCTTGGAGATCATCAACAAAATAAATCCACATAACTAATTAATTGTACTTAGACTTTGAAACCCTAGCTCAATACTTCTAATTATGGTTGTGTTTAGCTCAGTGAAGTTCACTGTTTTCATAAAGATTTGGCAGTTATTCCACAAGTGTGAAACTGGCACTTTGGGAAACAAATGTTTTACACAGTCTTGTACAGCAGTCAGCAGGCTATGAGGGTGAACACTAGGTCTTACCTTCACTATACTGAAATCTGCAACTAACTAATACTGCAGTTTTTATTCACCAGTGTTGTTTTCCTGAGGATATTTTCTTGGGTAAAGGTTGCAGTATCAGAACCCCAATTTATAGGAAAACCTTTAGAAACCTAGAGCATTTTTACAAAGAATCGTAGACTGAGAGTTTATTGTGTGCTTTTAGAATTTGTATTTGATTTTGTTCATTTGTTCGTTTTGCTTTATCAATGCAGGTTTACCTATGAAATTGCCCCTGTTTTTGTCCTCATGGAACAAATAACACTTCGAAAGATGCGGGAGATTATTGGATGGTCAAGTGAAGACGGTGATGGAATATTCTCACCTGGTGAGTTTTTCTTCTCTGTTTTTATGATTTGACTAAAACTTCAAAAGTTAAAATAAACATAGGCTGTGTCTGAATATCCAGGCTATCTGCCACACAAAGCAATGAGTCAGATATGTAGAAGCAGAAATGTTTTGTTTAAGCATCCCACAGAAAAGCTGGGGGGAAAAATTATCTCAGAGTATGGCTATGTATTATGGCTGGTCAACATTTTAAGACTTGGTTATGAGTGCTGGTGTAGAGTTGGGCATTTAAACAGTCCTTTTGCATGCTTCATTTCTGGGGGTGCTGAGCAATCCCTGCTGACCAAGAGTTCTGGAAAATCATGTACTGACTTCTTTGATGGACAATGAGGATTTGGGGTCACAGTCAGGAATAGGCTGGGGTGTCACTTTCTGGGACACATTATCTGGGATATAAACTGACTGGATTCACAAGTATGATTCCAGTATAAAGACCAAGATAAAGTGTCTTCCCATGAAGGTGATATAAAGGCAGTGAGCAGTGACAGAAATGACTGATGATAAGCCATGTGGTAGTCCTGAACCAATGTGTGGACAACATGGGCACCCAGCAGAACTACATTTTCTGGGTTTGGCATGAGGGGACACCATCCTGTTGCAGAGGAAAAAGGACAACCCCACCACCTTTTGGAACAGCCCACATAAACTCTAGGAATACACACTTGATTTCCAGTCCTATCTGCTAGAAAAATACAGATCTTTCTCAATGTTCTCATCAATGAAAAAATATTAGAAGAAGGTGTTGTCCAAGACTTATGGATGAGATTGATCTTCCTAAAGCTTGACGTCTGCATCAAAGAACTGACCTAATTGTCCAGGGCTTTTTAGCAGCAAACCAAGAGAAATAGGTGTTTTCCCTCAATCTGAATTCTTCAAAAATAAGTGTCAAAATAGATTAGCTGAGTTAGCCTGTGAAGTGCCTTTCCCATAACTGACTGTAAGGAAGTTTACAATAACTAACTTAGCTGTAGAAATGTACCTTTAAGCCATCTACTTCTATATTTACAGTAAGATGGGATAAATCCATCCAATATGTGACACTTCTCCAATTTCACACAAGTTGTTAAGTTCCTGTTGTTGCTAACAAGAAGTTGACATGCAAAAGCCACGCAGTGAAAGCTGAACTTTTTAGGAACATGTTACAAAATGTTAGCAATTGAAAGAGATGACAGATAGGAAATTCTGACTATCACTGTGATTTTCCAGAAGGTCTGTCCTATGCTATTTAGACAGATGCCTGTACATTTCAGAAATATACTTTTTCACAGTTCACTGCCACTTTCACTGCATTATGCAAATGAGACTTGTATGTCTTTGGTATAATATGCTTTTTTTTTCATTATCATGATTTTATTATTCATTCATTTATTGATTCACAGGAGGAGCCATCTCCAACATGTACAGCATAATGGCTGCACGTTACAAGTATTTCCCTGAAGTCAAAACCAAAGGCATGGCTGCAGTCCCTAAGCTGGTTCTCTTTACCTCAGAGCATGTGAGCTTAATACACTGCTAATTCTTAATTTACGGATGTCTGTTGTGAAAATACTTCGTCATTAAACCACCATCCTATTTAATGTTCATGTGTTTGCTGCAGAGTCACTACTCAATAAAGAAAGCTGGAGCTGCACTTGGATTTGGAACAGACAATGTTATTTTGATAAAATGCAATGAAAGGTAGGATGAATGCTAAGGGTTTGATAGATTAAAAGTGTTAATCTGTTAAATTTGTTGTATTGTGTTTAAGGACTGATTCAGTACAGTGTGTCAAGTTACTAATGGCCTGTTGAGAAAATCCTGTTAAAGTATTTCAATTGTAGGTAGTATTTCCATAAGCATTCTTTATTTTTATTTGTCTTTCTGTTTCTATGATAATTACAGAGGCAAAATAATACCAGCTGATTTGGAGGCGAAAATTCTGGAAGCAAAACAAAAGGTTTGTATTCTTAAAAATTAGTCCCGAAATGCTTGGCCTAGTAAAATTACTTCTTTTTTTAAAGCTTGAGGGCTGACATTAAAGAACACATTATAATTATGTAAGTGTCATAATAATATTTTCAGATACTTAATTACACATTCATGTATTGTTTAGGGAATTATCTATATGTCTTGCTAAGGTTTCAATTTTCTGTTTAAAAATGAAGTATTTTAAACTCTTGAACCACATTCATATTTCATGACTTTAAAAAATAACTTTCTGTTTGGAAATGTATGGAAAAAAGCATGAGAACATTAAACTAAAACTACTTTTGTCCCATATTTAAAGTTTAGCCAAAATCATAAAAAATTCTATAGAACTCCCCCAAAAATCATGTAGATTTCACGTGTGAGGCTGCAGGGTTGGTAAATATAGCCAGTAAGCCTAAGTTTTTGATGCATTAATTTTTATTTCTAGGCTCATGGCAGTGAAAAATCCATGAATTTTGTACAAAGCAAGCAAAGTTAGAGCAATCAAGATTATTAATTTTTTATTTCTTAACTTCCTTACATTTGAGCACTCTATGAAATTGCAGTTCACATTTATTTCATTTAAGTCAAAAATGTATTTCTTTGATCTGATAGTTCCACATTTATTGCTTTTGTTTTGGATTCCTTTGTTCTGCTTTGTTGTGTTTATTAGTAGATAAAGACTAAAGGAATAATTTCAGGCCTTCAAATCACAACTTACAGATCACATTTAATTTATTTTCCTTTATACTGCTGCAAAAGTCACAACTTTACTTGACTATTGTTAGTCTTTTACCATCGTTTAAATCTCCTCACTGAAAAGATTAGACAAAATAATATTCTTCATCTTCTGATTAGTTCATTTTGTGAAGTTACAATGCAATAAAACCAGAGTTTGTTCTTACCATATATATGATTAGTTAGTTTCTGCTGTTGCTTATGTGTACCTTTCACATGGGAAGAAAAACACTTTTAAGGCTGGAAAATGAGATAACAAAGTTTCTGTCATTATTTTCCCTTTTTTTTTTTTTTTTTCTGAAAGAGGTTGGAATTTGTATTTAAATATCTTTATTTTCATTGTAGGGATACGTTCCTCTTTTCGTAAATGCAACTGCAGGCACAACAGTATATGGAGCCTTTGATCCAATACAGGAGATTGCAGACATATGTGAAAAATACAACCTCTGGCTCCATGTAGATGTAAGTAACTAAAAAAGTGCCGCTGTTCAGGCAAAAAAGGATCTTTTTTTACACGTGTTTTGTCTTTAATTAAATATTTATTACTAGACCCTGATTAATTTTAAAATATGTTGAGCTTTTTCAAAAAAATGAGTCTTCTCTTTTTTCTGTCCCTTCCAGGCTGCCTGGGGAGGTGGACTCTTAATGTCCCGAAAGCATCGTCATAAACTGAATGGAATAGAAAGGTACTACATGGTGCTTGTTTGTAATACTGTTATGAAAGTACCTTCACAAGGTACACGAAAATTCATGAAAATATTAATTTGCTAAGAAATTTAAACACTAAATTAAACAAAAGTGAGACAGACAGGAAAGGTTTAGACTGTGAAGACTGAAACAATACTACAGGAGAAAACAGTGATGTACCACTGAGTGAAAGGTAAGTTTTCAGCTGATCTGAAGGGGGATAAGGACATTACTTGGCAAAAAGGAAGGAAAATTGTTCTATGCTTATCTTTGAAGGGATCATAGGTCTGGTAAAGGATGAAGAAGGATTTGAGGAAAAATGAAGCAGGAAGAGCTAGACAGTCTCTGAAATGTAGGGCTCTGAGAGTAGCAGTGATAAATGAGGAATCCAGGGAAGGTGTTTGAGCATGGATACTCATGATGGGAATCCATGACAGGGTGGGAATTTCTAAGGTTTCTCTCCTGAAAGATGTTTGCAGTTTTTTCAGAAAGTAAAGAGTATTTTCTACCTGAAAATGAGTGTTCTGTAAATGAAAGTTTATATATATATATATATATACTTGCTTTTATATTTCTTATATATATATACAAACAAGAGTACTTTTTTTTCCTTAGTACAACAATGAGAGGAACACAGGGAGACTGAACTAGTAGCAGTATTTAAGGGCACGTTTCAGTACCTATAAGGCTGGAAAAGACTATGATGGCACAGAGCTGATACTCTTCTGCTGTGCCAGGGAGAAGACTGAGGTCATTCAGAGGGAGGCCAGAAAGGGTCACTGATACTCAGCACATCTCAGGGCACAGGGGCCTGTGAGTTACATGGAACAAGCAGGAAGCTCCTGTAGAGGCCAGAGTGAAGTCTGCAGAAGAGAGCACAGGGGGTCCCCCAGGTACATAACCCAGATTCTCAGGATGCCCACTGAGACCAGAAGCCAGCCTTTAATAGATAATTGATTGAACCCAATTTAAAGAGGCAAAGCGTTTGTGTTGGTAGTGATGGCAGAGTGGAAGTATGACTCTCCCACTGGCCCTTACAATTCAGACTCAGGAGTCATTCCAGGTGTAGCCTTTGGCACAGCTGTTCTCATATCCAGTGGTGACAACTCTGAAGATAATATGTTTATAACCCCATGGGTGTTTTTCTCTAGATTTCCTCTGAAACTGCTCTATCATAAAATGCTGCTCATCTGAAAAAAAAAAATCAGAAAAGCAATGAAGAACCAGAAACTTGTTTTCCTTCATTGCAGATATCAGACTCCAGGGAATAAAAAAATATTTGAAGCAAGCTCTCCCCATGTACTCTTAAATTACCACCAAATTGCTTCCTTGAGTCAACAGTGCTGAATGTGAGCACCATGTAAAGGTGTAAAAGGAGTACAGTGGGTAATGCTCTTCCTTAGGGAAAACAACCTTTCCTGGTGTTGGGCATCTCAGACAGTAAGTGAAGAACAAATACAGTGTAAAGAATAGTGTACAGAAGGACTGGCAGCAAAACCATGTGAACCCTTCTGTGGCAGGGACGGCAGTGTGTGGTGTGGCAGGAGTACTCTGAAGTAGCAAAATCCTATCAACCCAGTCCATTTTACTAGTCACTCATGGCAACATGTCTAGTACGAGGTCAGCACTGTAAAATAATCTTCTTAAGCTACAGAGGTTTGGTCATAGGAGCTTGGCACACCCCTTTTGACCTGAGGTCAACCCAGAGGTGCTAATTAAGGCTTTAATTTTAAGCAAATAGAGAAGGCAGCAGGCCACGAAGTGTGAAATTATTTCTTTCCTAGTCAGCTACACAGATCTTCAAACACGGGACAGGCCCCACGTGCACCGCGTAATTGCCTGTCACGGGCCCCAGCTGGGGTCTGTTGCTGACACTCAGATCATACTTGGCCTGCTTGGAGACACTGGCATGAAGGACTGGCACATTGCCACGGTGCAGAGCTGGGATTGCCTGTGCTAGGGTGGCCTCTGGCTGGCTGGCTGGCTGCACTGAGGAGAGAGTGGCATCTTCATGTTAAAATAAATCTAATGCTCCTTGTGAAAAATGACTTAAAATTGTCTTTGTTTGGAACCCTGAAAGTTAAATAAATGAGCTAAACTGAAGACATGGTGTTTTTAAAAAGGAAATCAGCTGTTAGATAAATTCATGTTCCTTGATTACTCTATCTGAACTATTAGTGAAGTGTTTTAAAAGATAGGTGCCTCCTAAGTCTGAGCTGTATATCTGCTGGTTTGCAGCCCATAAGCAGGAGATTTTAGAGGGGTGGTGAGCTGCCCAGGTACAGCACAGATTTTAGAGGGATGGTGAGCTACCCAGGTACAGCACAGATTTTAGAGGGATGGTGAGCTGCCCAGGTACAGCACAGATTTTAGAGGGGTGGTGAGCTGCCAGGTACAGCACAGGTTTTAGAGGGGTGGTGAGCTGCCAGGTACAGCACAGGTTTTAGAGGGGTGGTGAGCTGCCAGGTACAGCACAGATTTTAGAGGGGTGGTGAGCTGCCGGCAGCACAGATTTACAGGGCGGGACTGCAGGTACTTTAGGTTTTAGAGGGATGGTGAGCTGCCCAGGTACAGCACAGCAAAACACGCACTGTTCTTTTGACTGAGGGGTACTGCAGTTTAACCTAGCACAGACAGAGGTTGGAATCATATCTAGAAATTAGCAGTCCTCATACTGGGGTGAAGATATCATTGTGTTGCTCAAAACAGAGGAACTGTGGCTGTATCTGTGTCCTCTGAGAGCAAGGTGTAGAAGAGGAGGAAATACCTTTTCATTTTCTTTCAATCACATTGCAAGAATACATGAATAGTCTGTGAAATACAATTATGCACTTTGCTTCTCTGGCAAATGCAGTGAATGAAGGGGACATTTGGCAATTAATTACTTAGGGTGAAGAGGTCAATGAATGTGCAATGTTGGTACATTTATTTTAGCATCATCATTAAACTGTCTAGGACAGTATGTTAAAAACACAGAACATCTGTTTGACTAGTAAATTAGGGGATCTTGTGCATTCATTTGTGTTTACATGTAAAAAGTTTTAAGATTTACATACAGAATGGTAGGATTCTGATGGAAAGTTTTAAAGCCTTTCATCTGTCCATGAGCTCAAAAACTAGAGCTGTGGCTCTAACTGGGAAAGCAGGTAGGCATGCAGTGTCTTTCATTTGCTTTCTACTTTTCCAGCAGCTGTTCAGTGAAGAACTGTATTCTCCCAGAATCCATACTAGTGTCATAATTCTCTGACACCACCGCTTTCCCCATCAGTACCTTGAATTGATAGAACACATCAAACTGGTTTTGTTATTTTTGTTAGTGCTATTTCTAGAAGTTGAGTCTTCTGGGGATGATGTTACTGTATCAGCTAATTAATCTGATACTAATTAGCTGATATTAGTAATAATATAAACTAGTCACAAGTCTGACACTGCAATGTTAACGCAAAAAAAATTCCTTTCCTGGACAGCATAGCTGGGAAAGAAGACACTTGAGACAGTAATAACCTCCATACTGATATCATCATGGTCAAAACTCCATATATTTCCAGCTGAAAGCAGAAAACAAAGGTGACTGCTTCAGGTTAAGTTTCTGAATTCCAGACCTATCTGAATGTGTAATTTTTTTGCAGAGCCAACTCAGTCACTTGGAATCCACACAAGATGATGGGAGTGTTGTTACAATGTTCTGCCATTCTTGTCCGGGAGAAGGTCTGCCTTATATTTAATAATTAAACATTAAAAAAAAAATAAATAAAAGAAGAAAAAGTAAATACCAAGCCCTACTTTTTAAGAGGGTATTGCAAAATCCATTTAATTTCAAAATTTTATTTGGAAGGAATAATTGTGTGGATTTACATTGTGTTTAGTAAGTTGTTTTATCTTTCCTGGGTTTTGGGGACTTTTTTTGGTTAAAACTGTAAGCAATATGAATCATATTTTAGCTGTTGGGTCTTTATATATTCTAATAGCAACAATAGAACCATGCTTATATACTTCATCTGAACACCTACCCCGTTGTTTCTACGATATCCTGAACATACACCTTTGGTCTCAGTACTTGGTAACAGTCTAAACTTCTTAAATAAAAAGCAACTTCTTTACCTTACACAGTGGTTTAAAAGTTTCTCAGTTCTGTTGAAAAGAAAGCATGCTGCTTTTATTAAGACTCTATATTTTTGGGGGTTTCATCTAGATTCTTTGTTGTCATCAATGAAAGCAAAACCAGTGTCCTTTTTCTCTTAAGCAATAAGTATTTTCCTTAGATGATTAAAAAGAAATTTATATTATCTGTGGATAGGACTAATTATACGGTTTACTAATTTCTGGCAATTGCTACTACTAGAGTTTAGCTGAAGAAGTAGTCCCTGTGTATAGAACTGGCATGGAAGAGTTGTGAGTTCCAGCCCTACGTCTGCCATTGCTCTTCCAGTTGATCCATCTCCAAAGTGAAGACTGCAGCACTTACGTCCCTCTATGAAACACATCTATTGTGTTCTATACACAATAGAGGAAGGGAAGGAGGGAAGCAGTAGGCTTTGTTTAGGGACATGCATGCTTATCGTGCTAGCTGTTGCAGGATTTTGGCAAGAGTTCTTGTTCTTATATGAGAACTTTGATAGGTGCTTTTGTATTTATCAGACAAACTGGTGTTCTTCGAGCTTCTTTCAAAAAACACCAATAAACTCTAAAGGAGATGCAAAGCATTTCAGAAATGTCATATGTGTAAGATTTCTGTGTAACACAGGAATTTGCTCCTCTGTGTTTCCTTCAGAGATTTTTACCAGTAATCCACAGATTTCTATTGGTCTGTGAGCCATATTGATTTGTAAGCAAAAAAATGTCTGGTTTAGATAATTTGTACTTATATTTATCACTTGTGTTAAGTGTCATAAAGCTAGACAATATACAAAGTTGAAACCTTCAATTAATTTTTTTTTAATTTCATTTTGTGTAGCTATCTGTTGCACTGAGAGACCACAGCTGTATTCTAGTGTGTAATTTAACAAATTAGAAATTTAAATGTTAAGAATACAGCCTTACAAATTGAAGTGCACAAAGCTAATATCACAAATGAAGTATCCAAATAAATCTGATAATGTTTTTGCAGGTGTGAGTGTGTGGATGTGTAAAAGCATATGACTACTCAGGGACATATAAGGGAACCACCTAGGGTTATGAAATCATTTTTATGGCTCAAGTTTACAAAACAAAGTCAGTATGTTATAATATGGCCCATTAATTAACAATTCCTCTGCATATATACTTTTTAATACATTTTTGAGGTATACAGTTTCTTATGTACATGTGCTATGTAAGTCATATAAGTACATGTTTTTCATTACAGGGTATACTTCAAGGCTGCAATCAAATGTGTGCAGGCTATCTCTTCCAGCCAGACAAACAGTATGATGTCTCCTATGACACTGGAGATAAGGCAATACAGTGTGGGCGACATGTGGACATTTTCAAATTCTGGTTGATGTGGAAAGCAAAGGTAAATAAAAAAAGTTTATCTCAAAACCCAGAAATGTATTTATTTAATTTATAAGTCTCACGTGGAGGCCGCATTTAGCCACTTTTGAGGTGTTGATTAACTGTATTTTTAAATTACAAGAAATAATACTGCTAAATGTTTTCTGACTGAAAATATTTAAAAGTGAAGCCTGGCTGAAAAGGTGATTGCTTTGGAGAAGAAAAAACAACCATATAATTAATACCTCCTTTCTTTTTTGGACAGGGTACAGTAGGATTTGAAAATCAGATAAACAAATGCCTGGAGCTGGCAGAATATCTCTACACTAAAATCAAAAACAGAGAAGAATTTGAGATGGTTTTTGAAGGGGAGGTGAGTTTTCTTTTATGTATGTAGGAGCCAAATCTGGGAGGAATTTAGAAAACAGTCTTCACACTTCTCGCTGTTCTTCAAGCCAGCTATGCAAAACTGCTCTTATTTCCTAAAGAACTACATGACTATTGGCATCTGGGCATTTTTTTGGCTACATGCATGTGGTTTTGTACCGTAAATGCTAGTTTTATATCCTTTTCTTCTCTTCTGCAAAGGACTTCTCAGTTTAGGGTATGAAGAGTACCTTAATACAGTCTTCTCATGCCGAGGTTCCAGATTATTACATACGTAACTGAGAATCTGCTTTTTGCTGTATGTTCTGTTGCTAGTGCCACTACATAAACCCTTGGCTGATAGAATAGACTTCATTTCTACAATTGCTAAGAAAAGGAAAATTGAGTTGCTTTTGTTATGATCCTGGAAAATAGTTCCTCATAAAACTGCATGAATGTGAAAAGCATTTACACTTCATTAACACCCTAAATATTGTAAGTAGGACAATGTATAGGGAATATAAGACAGCAGATGCAAGCAGCAGAACTGCAATCCTTTTCTTTCAGTTTAACATGCAGAACTGGGAAAGTCAATACTGTATTTTGTCTTTCATGTCTGTGCTAAAATACACTGCTGACAAGCCTTTAGTGTGGGATTGATCTGTATTGTTGTCTTTTTTAATTGAGGTATGTGTTTGGTTCTTTTTGCAGCCGGAGCACACAAATGTATGTTTTTGGTATATTCCCCCGAGTCTCAGGGGCATGCCAGACTCTGATGAGAGAAGAGAAAAGTTACACAGGGTATGTGTCTTTTGTTAAATGTAAAAATATAACCTACTCTTTCAACCCAAAGTACTCTATTTATTAAAAATAATGTAGCTGTTTGTGGGCACATATTACAAATGCTGATATGTCAGTTCTCCATTGCTCATTATAACCTTGATATTGTTCACTTCTGTCTCCTATTTACACTGAGGCTGAAGTCATGTTTTCTCTATAGAACCAGACACAGAACATGCTCAGGTATTCTTTGGTTTGTATCACTTCTGTGCTCCCAAGTGTCACAAATCTTCAAAAAGCAGCTAGGCCTAAAGATACTGCAGTCTTGTTTGGACAGGACAGCATGCCAGCAAGAGAAACAGAAGAGTAGATATTTAAAAATGCTTGGACAAGTAAAGAACATGGAAACCTTTAAGTCTTCCTCAGGTCTTTATTTGGATTTTAAATGACAATGTATTAATGCGTTTCAGTGAAAATTAATACCCTTTGGAGGACTTCGGGATAAATGTATTAAAAGAAGTGAGAGAGGGAAGCAAAGGCATCATAGAAGCATCACCAGGAAAAGTATCCTATCACTTAGGACTTGAGGGAAGCAAAGCCCATTGATTTTGTAGTAGTATTTTAGACAGACAGAAGTGGAATGAAATACATTCAGGAGACAAAAGAGTGATTTTATAGGTATCAGAAGTAATTGCAGTGTGTGTTAGGGAATGGAGAAGAATGGGCAAACTTGGGAGGTTTTGTAGAGGATTTTATGTCTGTATCACACTGGGGAAAGAGAACAGAAGAGAACAGAAATTCCTGGGTCAACCCAATGGCATGTTAAATAAAAAAGTTTCCAAAAATAAAGAGAGAATACAGGAAGATTGAGGTAAAAGGTATGAAGTGGCAAGAGGGATAAAATGTTTGACTTGACCCTGTTAAATGTTAAAGGACATCATAAAGTTTCCTACAAAACGGTAAAAGAGCCAGACATCTGACCTTGGCTGGCAGAGAGTAGAGCAGGAGAAAGAAGGCCTGGATGGAAAAACTGAGCTTAGAAAATACCAAGTATTAAGACTATCAGAACATTACTCCTTGTAATTTAAAGCAAGGAAGTGAGATTGTGGTAAATGCACAGTACTGCAAAACTGGATTTCCATGGCTTATGTTAGTAGAAAATATTCTTTATGACATAGATCTTGTTGGGTTTTTTTCTATTTAAAAATTTCTATTGTTGTCCCCTCCACACAAATTCCTTTGAGAATACTCATAATATCCATTACCTTCAAAAAGGTCTGGAGTAGGTTTTCATACAGAGGCAGAAAGCATTTCTTCATGACAAAATCTTTAGCATAAAGAAATGATGTGTACATTTAATAGATAAAATAGTGAATACTCTAGGATGTTATTAGTCTCTTATCAAAAAGATGGATATTATTGTTGTCAATTTTCCTTTAAATATCCAACCCTACATGTTTACTTTATCAAGCTTCTTCTGTTACAGATATTTTTTATAAAAATTAGTATCTTTTTTTGGCAGTCAATTTATTTTTTCTAAGTTAAGAAATGCCGTGACATACAAAGAAAAAATAAATTTTTCTTCTCTCTTTCTCTCTCTTTTTTTTTTTTTTTTTTTTCATTGGTAAAGGTGGCACCAAAAATCAAGGCACTGATGATGGAGTCAGGTACTACCATGGTTGGATATCAGCCTCAGGGCGATAAAGTCAACTTCTTCCGAATGGTCATCTCCAACCCAGCAGCAACTAAGTCTGACATTGACTTCCTCATTGAGGAAATAGAGAGACTGGGGCAGGAGCTGTAGTACAGTGGTTTCATTATTTATTTGTCTAATTCACTGTTTTCCAGCACTGGCTATTTTTTTAACCCAGTTCTGCAGAACACATTTTAAGGAAATCCTCTTTCTGTGAATTCCAGTCTCCTAAGACATCCTTAAACAAAACAACTGTAGGCTACTGAAATATACGTGTATTGGTAGATCACATTATTGAGGGAAAATGTATTATCTTGAAGTTGAAGTACTATTGACTCTTACATTGGTCTTATTTATTGTAGACAGCAGGAAATTAACAAGTACTAAAATAGTAAATTAAGAACTCTGCACAGTATATATGTACAGTATAAATAAATATATATAATTATATATATACATACATATATATATAAAAAGTGGTTATAAACTTAGATCTAAGCCACAGCATGTTTTCCACTTTAAGAGAATTAACTTTTCCTTCAACAACTATTGATGTGGATAATGTGCTACAGGTTTTTCTGCCAGACAGAAATAGACATATAGAAACCTTTCTAAAATGTAGATTCTTAGGAGCTAAAGAAAATGTATGACAGTATTAAATCTTATTGTTGGTGCTTTTCTCACATACAAAAGAGCAATCTTGACAGCACCTTTGAGTAAGATAGTTGTATTTGCCCTTTAGTGTCAAATCAGGGGATAACAGTAGCAGAGTCATTGTAACAGGTATATTATTGCTGTATTTTTAGAGGTTAATTTGTGTAGATTGTGTACATTATTGTTAAATGAATTTGTGTAAAAGGATTTAAATGTAATAGTTTTACAGCAAGATAACTGTTGAATTGTAGGTATCTGAAATATTTGCTTATTTATATGCAGAGATTTACCATGCTGAAGAGTTGTCTTGTATTTTCTTCCATTTGTAATGTAACCTATTTATATATTATTGAAGTTCTAAATAATGTTTATGGTATTTTAGTGTCTTTGTGAGCCAAAGAAAAAATACAAAAATATTAGTTGACACTCGTTTAAATCTTAGTGCCCTTAAAATAACTTACAGATAATTTTACTGAAGATAAGGAATTCTAACATTGTGTATAGACTGTCAAATTATGAAATCCCTTAAATCTATTAGAATTATTAGAATTTTCAGTTTTATGTATTGTAGTGTCAGTGTTCTGAATGCTTTTCTAGTGAATATTGGTTGCTAACCAAGACCCCTGTTTTTATTTCAGGCCTGATCTCTATGACCATTTTAACCAAATTCTGTGGGACTTTTAGCCAGCACCATTCTTTTATTGAAATGGAATTCACTATCTGTTTGGAACTTACAACCCCCCCAAAATAATGTCAGTATCTTTGAATACAGCTGGCTTGTCCCAACAATTCCAATTGGCTAGGCTTTTGAAATTATAGACACCAGATTCATCTGCAGCTTGTTCAATTTTAATCACTAGATAATCAATACTACCGAGTGGAAAAGTCTATACTTGAAGCAGAGTAGTGGAACAAAATGGAGATTCAATAATTCTCTGTCTACTGAGTTACTGTCATGGTGATAAATGGAATATGCTAATTTCAAGTGTTTTCATACATGATTCTGTGGCTATTATCTATGCAAGTCAGTAATTAATTGCTTTTTCTCCCCACCCCTCCACCTCAGTAACAAAATTGAATTATTTTAGAAATGTTCAATGAAATGCAGTCATGCTATGCAGTTTTCACAGCCTCTCTGGCCCCATCAGGCCTGTGGAAGGACAGCTACAGCCAGGAGAGGTTTCCATCCTGCAGGTCCCACTGGTTGTCCTCTGAGGATCCTGTCTCGCGTTTTTGGCAGTGTTAGCACAGGGAGAAGAAGCTGTTACGGTAAATGCTGTGTCGTATAGCACAGCCTTTCCAGCTTTTCTTAGGACTATTGCTTATTCCTCTTCCGTAACCTTCTGCAAAATCTTTTCTTGAAATTCAGTTGAATCTAAAAATTACTATAAGTTTGTCACTGTCTTTTAGATTTATGAGTATGACTTTCAGAATAGTATCTGCATTGTTCCTTTTATGTCATTAAACCCTAGTAACCTTACTGGTACAGTATTTCTTTCATTAGATTATTTTCCTCAAGACAGTGTAGTTGGTCTCTTACCTTCTTGATCGTTAACCTCAATATTCCTCAATTATAACCCTATTATCTGACCTTTGTATTCAGTACTTAACATTTCTTGATGTAAACATCCATGCTGTATGACCTGAGGCCTGCAGTACAGAAGTAGTCAGCATGAACATTGACTTCAGCAGTGCTATCTTCCATAATGGTAAATGCCATTCTTTATAGCTACCAGATATTCAGCAACACTAGATGATCTCTCATTATAGCTGTTTTTAGAGTACAGAAGAAGTAGGTCACATTTTGATTTACAGACTTCTGCCTGAAATCTGATCTCTGTCACAGTTTTACTTTATTCAAAAGGCAGCTACAGAAGGCCTTGGACAGTTCTGTGACGTAGTCAGAAACAGATCTAGAGCTCTTCACTACATATATAATGTTTTACTCACTAAAATTTCTGCTTCTTCATTTAATGGAGTATCTTGTGTTCTGAAGGTCAACAATCAGAGGTTCTACCTGTTGCTGTTGATGGTTTGCAGCTAGTTGGGAATAATGGAGCTCCTCCTGCCTTATTTGGAAGTGAGATAGTTAATGAAGAGGTGTTTTCTCCAAAGATAGGGGGCTTAAATTTATCTTCCTACCCTCTGCATTTTATTTTGCCTTTCTGCAGTGTTGTGTCCTGACACAGATGACCACCATTAGATTTTTTGCAAAGCTTTTAATTCTAATATCAGATTCTGGAGTTTTCCTGTTACATGTACCATGTTCCGCAGGCACTGGGCTCATATTAATTTCTGACTTGGTTAGCTGATTTGAACAGAGCAGTTAGAGTCAGTAAGAAAACTCATCTGTTTCCTTCTTAGTAGGTAATTTCCATCTGAGTAATATGCTACAGCTTCTCAGTTTAAGGTTTACCTGGAATTTTCCTGCTTTTTAATCCATACAGTATTGACTGTGAGAGATCAGGATGTATGGATATACAGAAGTATTGACTAATTCAAAGCATTGCAATCCCGGTGAGTAACTTTGTTTTTCTAGGGTTTAGTATATACTCTAAGGTAGCAATTTTGCCTTTAAAAGCACATGGACATCACCATAACCTTGTGTGGGTGAATTCAGATCAAATAAACAATAGGAAAGATCTCAGCTGAACATGTAGCTGCGGTGCTTATTAACTCACATAATTTATTTGGAGACTGACCATTGGATAAAAATCAACAGCAGCTGTTGATTTTGAATGACAAAAATTCTGATTGTGTAATTAAAGGTATGTTTTAGAGAAGATAGTTAAATTACGTCATTCAGAGCAGACTAATGGAACCAGGGGCCTTGGGAATAACCCAGGATTTTAAAATCATTGTTGACTTAGCTCATACTCTGTTTTTTGAATGGTGACAAATATGAAGAGATTTTTTAAACAGAATCTCTGTTTTGTGGTTTAAGAAATGTTACAGTTATAAAGAAGTTATGCAATGCACTTTTAATTTTTCAATAAAAGTTGATCTTAAAACTGACTAATTTGTCTCATATAATTTTTGTGAGCCCTTTTGTTTCCTTAAGAATATGAGACAAAAGCCATACAACATTATCCCTCACATTAAAAATGGTAAGGCAAATGCTATTTAATTTTAATAGGCTACTATTTAATTTTATTATTATTTTATTTAATAGGCTACTATTTAATTTTAATTGTGAATTGAATGTGAGCTTATATCAACACAGACTGAGGAAGAGCCACAAGCACAGAACCTTGGTCAGTTTGAACAGCACTGTTGAGATATTAGTACTGTGTATAACATGAAAAAGGTGATCAAAAATCTTGGATTCTAGACCATATTTTGGGTAACCTGTCATTCTCTTATGGGAGATAAAATATATTTAAATTTTTTTTTGGTATACCAAATATATTGAAAAATAAGAGTACATTTTGAATTCATAAAAGTATAATTTTTTTCATTATATAGACAAGTTCTGATTAATTGGTGCTTTATGCATTATCCATAGAACTGTCATTGATTTTTACAGTATGTAACGAATTTGATTTTGATTGCTTTAGAGTAGGATGAGCATCCTTCATGTAGCATGAGTTTTCTTAAGAACATTTTTCTTTCCAAGTTAAAAATTTTATGTAGCAAACTATTCATGAAGAAAATACATACTGCAAAGAAACTTATTAAGTTGCTTAGTGTAGCATGCAAATGGCGTAATGTAAAGCACTAAAACTCATGGATGATTGTATCGTGTGAGTATTAAGGAATGTTCAGGTTACGCACAGACTGTTCAATACAATGGTAGGACCAAACAAAAGTTTTGTAGTTAGATACAGCTCACTGTGGTCAACAGAATTACACCTGTCTGTATTTCTTCAGCAGGGTTTTATAACTTGCATACTGTGACAATTATGCTTAGGGTGATGATACATGAACTGGGAGTACTGCTTGCTCAAGAACAGCCACTAAACTAGTGAAGAGATGAGAAGACACAAGCATTCCATGAAAGCAAAGGTTAAAAGGAAGGATGACTGCATAACATGGAAGGATTTATGTTTCATTAGGGCATTTGAAAGAATCAGACTTCTGGACAAAGCAAAATAAAAAATTTTGTTTAGAAGACAAGATGCAAGCAAAAGTTTTTAAGTAGACCAGGTAAAGAAAGAAAAAAGGTCTGGTTCTCTGTTTTAATAGATCTATCTACTGAGAAAAAAAGGTGCATTGTTCAGTAATGATGATAACAGAAAAATCCTAAGATAAAGTATTACAGACTTTGATTTGTTTCTGCTATTTATAAGATAATCTGTTCAGCATCTGAATGTAATTATTTCAGATAAGTGTACTTTGTATGTGTATTTGTGAATGTATTTATATTCCTTGATATAAACGAGAAGAACATGTACATGCATTTACATACTCAGTGTGTATCAGAAAAAACTAAGTTTTGCACGATATTGACTGTTTTGTGTAGCTCTTTTCAGGACATCTGCAAAGATTCTTGAAATATAACATTAAAAAACTATACCATGAAGGAAATAGTAATTATTTTCCCTTACCTTTGAAAGTATGTGTGTGTATTGTGTATTTATATGAATGATTAAATCTCTATCATATGAAATCCTTAAATTATATACCTTTTAGCAGGACAGCAGTCTGGTTTATCTAAGAGCAGTTGGTTTGAGGCAGGAACTACTCTATGAAAAATGTTGGCTTTGTTTGATGTGGAAAGGTGTTGCGTCGTGACAGTGTGAGCAAAAAATACGTAAGATCAATGCAGGTGGTGGGAAATGGAGAAAAACTAAGTTTAACATCATAAAGCCCAGAAAAAATGTCACTACAAGTAAAATCAACAAATGTAAATACAATTACTTTAATTTAGATGTACAGAAACCTAACATCTGTGACCACAATGCAAGCTGGTTTGAAGCAGTGTCTGCTTGGTCTGACATTGTCAAGAGTTTTGATTGTGCTGGTGTATAAAGCAAGAGTACTGGCCTTCCAAAAAATAGAAACTCAAATGCTAGCTTTAAACTGGACAGGTGAAACTGTCTCTAAAAAGCAAAGTGAGAAAAGACAGAAGACATTTCTCATTGTGTCATTTCGGTTGGTGCTCTTTATATCACCTAAAGATTGCACATATTATAAATTACGTTCACTATTTAACATATTGCCTTACTAGGACTTGCCGTGGGCCTCAGCAAAAAAGGCCATTAATCTCAATTAAGCTTCTTCCTTTACTTATGGGAAGGTTTCCTGCAGGGTAACACTTCCATTTGTTCTTGTGGGCAGAGGGCCAGTCTTACCACTGGACTGTAAGTGATAAAGTCTTTATTTCCATTGCTTTGAAGTTTTCTACGGTTCCTTGCTGCGCAGTCCAGCCATGAGCATCCTCTGAAGACCAGGCCCTTACTGACTGTCTCTTTCAGGTAATTCACTCTCCTGCCATGTGCACAGCTCTGACAATCACTAAACACTAACACAGCTCTCGATTATCTAAAGGAGTGCAGCTTCACTGGGCAGTGGGGTGAGACCTCCATGTGCTGGGTTTAACAATGCTGAACCAAAGAACCATAGTTGTTTTTGATTACAGCAGGATTTCCCATTTCTGGGAAAAAATGACTGTAATTAATTTGTTGTAACTGCTGCCAGTGGGTATGTTGCTGCAATAACTTGGTGTGTTCACTTCTCTCAGTTGCACTTCAAATGTATTTCACTTTTACCTGACTATGTTATGTTTCAGGGGTGTTATATTTCTTTATACTGTTTTGCATCATCATGGCTCTTCAATTATTCTACATATTTTTCAAGAAGAGGTGTGGGGCTTTTTTTCATACTATGGAAGAATCGAGTTTAGTTTCCCTGCTGTAAACACTCCATATCAGTGAGTAGTTGTTGCTGTTTTTACTCAGTCATAGCGAATGCAATTATTCTGTAGGCATTAATTAAGTACCAGTTTTATCTTACAATATAATGCAGTGCATATTTGCTTGTCTTCCCAAGCATATAAGGCCTGTCTTTTTGCCAGATATGATGTGAAGTCCCAGATTGCTAATTGTGACCTGGCTCCCTGGCAGTGAGAACTGTAATTGCCATCAGACAGTTCCTTCTGCTTTCTGAAGCGAGTGCGTGCAGACTGATTGCAGCATTAGAGCTCGTATTGCAGTTCAAAGGAAACCTAACAAAATTTGTTCCTTTTGAATACATCAATATTACTCTAAAGAAAGCTACTAGGCCAGTAATTGCTACAATTTTCCTTTCCCAAAAGCCTAGGGTTTTGTGTGGTTTTTTTTCTCCCAGAAATTCTGTGGCTGCAATGTAAATAATTATGCTTAGCTATTGTTGAATGGCTTAAGAACTCATGTTAATTTTCTATATATAATGCTGCTATAATTGTACAATTAATGCTATACTGGAAGCAGGCCAGAGGTGGAATAGAGGTTCTTGGGGGAGTTTGAAGACTCTCACTCTCATTTACTCTGTAGCTCAGACCAGAGCTCTTTCCATTAAGCTGGCAAAGTGGTCAAAAGAAGGATCTGAAATCACTGCATTATACTACAGAGACTTGGTTGGATTCTCAGAAAAATGAACATGGCTTGAATTTACAATGGAAACATCTCTTTCCCTCATCTTTTAGCAAATACATTTATTTAAAAGAGCTTTGATAAAGGGCCCTTACTTGGGACCGTGTCCTCAGTTTATGTAGTGAACTACTAATTCATCTGTCTACCTACCTAGATAATTTCTAAATGAGCATAATTCATATACAAATGTACATATCTAGCTTGTAAGAACAAATTATTTTTCAATTACAGGACATCTACAAAATTTTAGAAGTAAATAATGTTTTGTATATCCATCTTCCCAGCGTTGCATATTTCCCATCCTTCCAATGAATAGATCAATAGATCCTTTCAAACGTGTGTGTATAGGGGAGAGTGTACAAGGAAAGTCCTCTGCTAGGCTACCAAACCAGTCTTCTACATCTATATTTGAATGGAAGAGTGGGTTGTAAGGTTGTTCTAACACCTTGACTTTGGTGGGTTTCTGCGGTACAAATGAAAAGGGAAAGAGAGATGAAATGGTTGGTGGTGGAACACCAAAGAAGAGTCACACAGGGCTAATTTCAAAATAGCAAAATTCTCCAGCAGGCAAAAAGCAAATGTACAGCACACATCTTGCTGAATAATTTACAAGTAATAAAACATCAGAAGAAGCAAAGAAATAATTTGACACCATGTAAGTAACACTCATTGCATGTAGTCTGAAATAAACACCAGAATGTGTCATGTTGTAAGAATACATAGAAATGTATATGAATATTTACCTCTCCCCAACTGCCTATTTATATAATTTTAAATGCACAAGATTTTTCTGGCAATATTTTTTCATTGCATCCGTAGGCACTAAAAGCCTTTTTTATACTCTACATCATTCAGCAAAGGGTGCTAGAGAGGTAAAGCTTTCTTCTACCTGCTTGGTTTACTTATGTTTAGGTATCTTAAATCAGGCCAATTTTCTAATGGTGTTGCTGTCTGTTGGATTAAGTATTGGTTTCCTAGGCTAAATAACATAAGTTTCATTACTAAAATAATGTGGAATGGCAAAGGGCAAAGTTAAACAGTGAAAAATAGACTGTATAGAAATAGACTCGTAGAAGTAATGTGAGCTAACAGATTATTCCCTCTCTACCTCCTGTGAGTCTGATATGCTCCCTGAAATGCAAATTCAGCAATCTGAGCAGCTGTTCAGCAGTTACAACAAAGAATACCCAGGATTTAGAAAAATGGAGTCCTGTTTCCCTATTACACTATAAAAATCAGGTTTTTATGCCTAGTTGGGAATGAGAGATGTGATCTGGTAGGTTCTTGTCCACTAAAACCAAGGCATACTCACATTTTCCCTATTTTTTTAACAAATTAGTAACTGTTTGAAAAGCAGAATCCTCTTATGGAGAACTAGGTATATATCTCTGCATCAGACCAAATATCTTGATCTGTAAGAAACAAAGAAAAATATATAAAATAATAGATCTAAAACATGCATATAAAAATACATAAAATGTTATAAATATTTTAGCTGTCATTTGGTTTTGCTTTTGTTAAACACTACACCCTACAAATAGTTTTTAAACTGCCTTAAATTGAAGATCTTTATAATTTATTTTATATTTATCTATGCTCTACAAGTCACGTTGTAATGGTAGCGCGTATTGTGAGCCTGTATTATCTGTAGGTCTCTGGACATGGCAACATTTTACAAGAGGTAGCTGTTGAGCTACTTTTAGCTGGGTCAGTAATGGTTGCAATTGTTTTGCAGTTGACTGTAGTTCCTGAGGTGTAGTGGGATTGCTATTTAAAAGCAACAACAACAAAACAGGGAACCACTGACAAATTACATTCCTAATTTATGCATTTAGGTTGTAATCTGTTGATGACTCTCTAACAGATCAGGAAAGACCTGACAGCATAAATAAGGAGTTAGTTTAGAACCTGACATAAAAAAAGAAAAAAGTGACTTCACCCTAGTGTAATGCTACTGAATTTCAGTGCACTTACACAAAGAAAATTAAGGCAAAACTTAATGAAGTAGAACCAGGTGTACTGCCCTGGTTCTAAAAGCAATGTGACTATATTAGAAGAAATAGAGCGCTCTGGGGAACAATAAGGTCAGGGTGACCACAGGAGATGCTCTGCACCTGGATTTCCAGCTATAATTTCAGGTTCATATTTCACAGCTGAACACCCCAAAAACTTCAACATGCCAAACCTTGCTGCTGTGTTACAGCTGCACTAATGATATAAGAGTGGTGGGCACTTCCTCTGCGAATCCACTGGTTATCTTGTCCAAGCCGCCTACTCAAATGGGACCACCCAGAGCAGGATGCCCAGGACCATGTCCAGATCACCTTGGGATATCTCTAAACATGCCAGAAATATCTCACAGGTAACAAAGAATTTTATTGTGTATTTACAATGGAGAAATAAAATCATTCCCTGCAACGATCTTAATATTTTTGGTGGGTGTTAACCATTAGAAAATTCTTAAACTGATTCAGGGGGTTCTCTAAGAACAGAAAATACTAAAGAGGTAGGGAGATGTGGTCCTCTGTGGCTGATGTACTTGGACTTCTTCATGAATGACTGGTATTGACCAAGGCAGTCTTTTAAAATTGTGTTGCTGTTTTAAAAGTTGTTGGATTTGCATCTGTTTCAGCAGCTTTGCTAACATTTTGCACTAAACAATTTGCAATCATAACTTTTAAGGGAACTAGAAACTAAACTCTGTTTTGGTTTGGGGTTTTGGGGGGCTTTTTTTTTTAACCGAATGTGATTTTCTAAACTGTTACCCATATTGCAGTAATTATTTTAAAAGCTCTCTGATATCCCTTTCTCATTATGACAGAGTTAGGTTGATGAGTGGTGTATTAAAAGAATAAAAAGAAACAACTGTAACAAGTAAGAATCACTGTTCAAAGATGTCTGTGTAACTTTGCATTCTGGCTGCCTTTTGCACTGGTCAGACTTTGAAATCACTGC